GGCTCTGGTGCTGTAGGCTGGCAATTCCTGCTTGTGGTTTAGACCCCACTCTTCTCAGAGGGACCCAACTGGCCATTTCAATATCTGTCTGGTGCTGCCGCCTGTGGGTGCCCTCCCTGCCTTCTTGAGTCTCTACTGCACTCCTTGCCAGGCAGGTTGTGCTAAAGCTTATTCTTCTGTCTGTCTGAGATTATAAGGCTCCTCTCTTCCTGTTGTTCAGTTATTTGTTCCAGGTGATTTCTCTACAATTTAGTTGTAATTCCAGATTTGTCCTGGGAGGAGGTCAGTGTGACTTCCATTCACTCCTCCACCATCTTGATTTTTTTTTTTTTTTTTTTTGTTCCTAATACTCTTGAGACTCTACTGGCAGGATATACTTTGGGTTTGAGCTAAAATGGCAATTCTCATGTGGCCTAAAGTAAAGATATTTGTCTTTTCAATTTTTCTCATACTTTATTCAAAGAAGAAATTCTAAATTCTTTTATTCTTAGAAATATACCAAGAAGCCCAAAGGGAACAGCTGCCACAAGAACGAGTTTATAGTCAACACGTTCCATGATGTGGCAACCTCAGAGACAGGCAGTGTCTAAGCTGCAGAGGAGAAGCTAGCACACTGCCCTCTAAGCAAGACAAAACCTAAAAGGAGTCACGAGAGTGGAATGCAAACGTAGGAGAGATCCTCATCATATGGATAAATAGATAGACATCAGGCATATTTCACTTATCAAACTGAGAAGAACTGAAAAATAATAAAGCCCAGTATCAGCAGTGATCTAAGAAAATAAGCACTCATAGTCCTGTGGTAAGAGAAAGTTGGAATAATCTGGAGGCAAATTTAGCAATGTATTTCAGGGGGCTTAAAATATACATGCCTTTTGATTTAAAAATTTTACCTCCAGAAATCTATTCTCCCCATCAGAGATAATGAATAATTTAGCTTACTGGAACTTCATTATAGCATTGTTGTAAGAGTAAAATATTAGAAATATTCTAATATTAGAAATATTTATAAAATATTAGAAATATCCTAAAATATTAGAAATAATAGGAAACTCATTAAATGGATTATGATACCTAAGAATGATGTTACAGGTGAAAAGGGTAAGGGCCCTAGCTAGTGAGGCACAGTTGGTTGGAGCATTGTCCCATAACTGAAAGGCTGCAGGTTCAATTCCTGGTCAGGGCCCTTATGATTCCGATCAGGGCGGGTACAATTGAGGCAACCAATTGATGCTTCTCTCTCACATCGATGTGATCTCTCTCTCCTTTCCTCTCTCTCTAAAAATGATGACAAAATGTCCTCAGGTGAGGATAACAACAAAAAAAAATTCTGTTTTTCAAGAAAAGGGGTAAGAAAATGTGTTCATAATATATGAATAAAAAAAAAAGCCTAGAAAAACTTGATCAAGAAAAGTGAAGTTTATCTGATTTATTTCAATAAAGACTACCTTCTTGATGAAGTCTTGGTAGTATTTCTGAAGAGCAAAATTGGGGAAGAATATGTAAAGGGTTTCAACGTCACAGCTGAGTGATTACAAGGTGGGTCTTACCACATGGGGAACTGGCTGGGATTGGGCGATTTTGGGCATAGTAGCTTTGGACTGGTGGGAACAGTGAAGTAAGGTCTTAAAGCAAATATTGTTAAACAAGCTGCTGGTCTTCACAAGTAAGCAAGGATTTTCTGAAATAAGTAGCAAGTTATTTTTGTCTGGTCTTTGCATTGTTTGGCACAGAAACAGGAAAATATAATTTACCCATAATTGTTTATCATAGTAGCAAGAAAGCACATTGGTTTCAGTTCTCAACAACAGCTCTTTTTGTTTAAATATTCATATTTTTATTTCTATCTAACTAGAAAAAAACTTAGGAATGTAATTATTTACAAATTAATAGTGGTTCTCTTTGGGGGTAAGGATTACAGGTATTCTCTAATTTCTTATTTTTTGCTTCTCAGCATTTTCTAAATTCTCTCTCTTAAGAACATACATGGGCCAGAGGGGAGGTAAATTTGTTTAACCCTCACTTAGGCAGATAATTCTAGGACTAGAGTCACCCTCATCTCAATGTTTCTAATCCATTTTTAAATAAAACACCCAATCTGGGCAAAATTTTGTGGCCAACCTGGGATACTGGCTAAATCATTACATAATCACAACCATGTGATCCAATAAGCACTGGCAGCTTTTCATCTTTTCAGACAGATAAATGCTGTATGGACTGTTTGAGAATCATCCATTCTTCAGAAGTATATTAGAAACATATTTAACTAACACAAATACCCGGTTTTCTCCTTGACTCTCTGTTATCACTCTGCTTTCAGAAACAAGGTGCAGTGGGTGTCAGGGACGTCAGAGAAATGAAGAGTGAGATCTGAGGTGAACCCAGAAATCTAGAATGCTGTCTCATGACCTTTCTAGCCAACCACTCATAAATATTTTTGAGCATCTAATATTTGCTGAGTGCTAGACAAGGTGAGACCTGGCACAAAATTGGATAACCTACACTCCATCCCTTAAAGGAGCTTAGTTTTTAATTGGGCAGAGGGTGGTGAGGAGTGACTAACACACAGGAATGATTCCAGATGGATGCAAAATGGCATGCAACCAGGCACCGCTCCACAGGAGGAATAGTCTTGATTCCAAGCTGGTCTCTATCACCGTGTTTGTACTATGTACCTTGTGTGGTTTAGACTCCAAGTCCTATGTAAATTCAGAGATGAGAAGGTTTGGGGCATTGAGATATTTTAGTTAAAGAAGGGTTAAACTCAGACTTTAAAAAAACTGTTTCATACTTTTTATTGCAAATCTTTCCAAAAGTTGAGTCTGCTTTACTTTCTACATAAGTAATTGCAGGCTAATGAACTGAACTGCAAGGCCTCAGGGCCATTTTCCTTGCATATAGATGTAGATTTCATTGGTTGTAGACTAGAAAGAAAGGGAACTGGCATGGGTGTGAATTGGCTCCAAGATAGCCTGAAATTTACTTTAAAAGAAAAAAAAAACCAGATTTTAATATTCATGTTATTTTCTGGTGATCATTTACTTTCCATTAAAGGAGACCAGAGTGGAGTAGACTGAAATTCCAACTGGTTGAAATGTCCTTTCCCTTGAAATAATGTTTTATTAGCAATAAGTATTCTTCATCAGGAATCTCATCATCTCATAGGCAAGGGACCTCACTAACCCCCTTGGGGAAATGGAAGCCCAGAAATAGGCCTTATTCAAGGTCCCCTGGTAACTTAATGATGGGCCTCATGATTAGAATTCTGCTCTCTCTGTTTTCAATCCTGAACTTCCTACCTCCCCAGTCTCATACTTCATGCCTTTTTCCGCAAGGTGAAACTCACAGGGGACTCTGAGGAGTTTAGTTACTAGAAATAAAAATAAGAGAGACACAGCTCACAACACTTTTGAGTATAATGAGATGCTTTCATTTCCATGTTCACTCTGTTCTCCTCAATGCAGGAAGAACAGCCTTTGCTGTTTATATGCCCCTAGGTTTCATCATAGCACTGACACAGAGAGATGAAGTCCCCCATGTCCCCAGCCCTGGGTCAGCCTGTAAGGCAGACCCTCTGCATGCAAACAGTGGAAACACGGAACACCTCCTGAGTGAACAATATGATGACCAATAAGTTAGTAACAACAAGAAGAAACTTAGCTAATATATCACTTAGGATGCCTTTGGCCATTCACAATAATAATAAACAAACAACACAAAACCATTTTCAAACAACCTGGGATATATTATATGTAATTAGAACCAGACTTTGCGAATGCAGCAGTTCAGTGGTCCCATCAATGACCTGGGCTCTCTCCATTCCTGCTGCCTTTTGCAGGTGTTGCCTTTGCCTGGAGGCCTGCCTATCATGGTCTCTAGAGGGTACCAGCAGTTGCAGGCCCCACATCCACATCCTGAGGCAGCACCAAAGGCAGTGACTTAAGAGTCACTTTCTTCAGAACAAGGGGATCTTTCTCAGAAGTTCCTGTACAAATATTCCCTCACAATACTAGGTGGAACTTGGTCAAAAGCCTACTCAGAAACCAACCACAGCCAGGTGATGGGCTCAAACCATTCATGATTCACCACTGCAGTGGGGGATTGAAAACACTCTCACCTGAGTCACATAAGGGCAGGGAGAGAGTGGGCAGGTGGGAGTGGGGAGGCCTGGGGAGGTGGATTCCTGACCCAGTCAGAGCTCTGCTAGGGAAGACAGGGCTGGTCAGGACGGAGAGATGACACTGACGACATCTGCTACCCCTGTGCTGAGGTGCTGCACCTACCAGGACCGGCCCTCTGCGTCAGGTGCTTCAATCCACCCAAGGTATTGAGAAGCTGGGTTCTGAGAGAGCATTGAGGGCACAGGGAACTGCCAGAACCTTCGCACCTTCTAGCAGCGTGAATGCTCACAGAGGTCTTTATCAGGTATTATGATGGCTTCGGGTGAAACTAACTGAGGACTCCGGAGTCCTTAACCCAGAGTCAGAGATGTGGTGCAAAGGCTGGGAATCTCAGGCCAGGAGCACTGAGGGGGCTTGGCCACGGATGGCCATGCTTTGGGTGGAGGTAGAACAGTATTTTAAGTGTCTTAAATCACTCCTGGACTGTCTCTGTTGGCTTTCCCCAGGTCCTACAATACAGATAGGAAATTGAAATTAGACACATGAAAGAACTTCAGAATACTTTGTTTATCTAGCCATGTATTATGATAAAATTTTAGCCTTGCTAAAATAAAAGTCAGTTTTGGGATGGCTGGGTCACCAGCTTTTTGCTTTTTCTTCTTGTATTCTGCCTTTGCTTTTTATTTGCTTTTAATTTTTAAGGAGAGTAAACATATTTTCTTTTATAAAAATTTATTTTGTAACTGGAAGTCTGTATTTTCTTTTATAATGGAAAATAAAGTAACCTTTATTTTGGAAAAAAAATAAGTATTTCATAGTTGTCATTTAAAATAGCCCAAGAAATCCCCACCTCAAAGAAGAAGTCTGATGATCACTCTGGTAATATTTGAAAATAAACCAACTTTATTTGAATCAATCAATACCAATCAAGACTGGAGAAGAAATTTATAACTGGTTCAGGAAAACACTCAGCAAGATCTTCATTAAAAGGCATTTTACATTCATTAAGGCTGGAAAGCAAGTCCTGTTATTTTATCACCACAGTTAAAAGGTCTTGAGAAAATCAAGTAACCATTGTTAGGAGTGTCTTTATAAAATGAAATGTTTGTTCTGTCATAAAAGCTAAACATCTTTTGCTAAATTAATTAACTCTCCAGCTTATAAAATGGGACAACCAGGTGCTCAGGAAAGTGAGACAAATTCAAACATCAGCTGGATATTTTATGTTTTAAATATATGTGAAATCTCTAGCTATCAATACATACCTTAGATAACTGGATCCTTAAAACTATGTTTTGCCATAAAACAGATTGCTTTTATAGAAACTCAGATTAGCCCAAACCCTCTAATGAGGCCATCTTTTATTTTATGTTTGGTTAGGGAGGAAAGGATTGGATCTGTTTCCCTAAGTAATATTAAATAAACTTATGCACACTTGAGTCATTCCTAATTATGAACTGAAAGTATGCTGAAACTAAGCTGGGAAAATAATATTGACAAAGGGGGAGAAACATGCACGCATGAGGCAGGCACACGTGGCTGGGTTTGAATGCTGAAGAGCAATGCACAGAAGCCAGTAGTCCCTGTGCGCAAGAAAGGCCCAAGGCCAGTGACGTGACCCCATCGGTTCTCCTGATCTCAGAACCAGGCCGCTTTACATGCACATTTCTTTCCCTAATGCTTAAGGTTCTTTTTAATGTCATATGCAAAAATAAAGAAGTGATCCCTTGGGAATGGTGGTCTTAACTCTTAGAGTTAATTTTAACTCTAAGTTAATGATTCACTTTTCCAAGGAGGGAGACACCATCCTCTTGACTTGCTCTGCTGTTGAAATTGCTCCAGGCCGGTAGGAATCGGGCTGAGACATACCAGTACCACCTGGATATCTGCTGCCTCTGGGCCAACTTAATTTTAGACACAGACTCCCACGGGTTTCTCATGATGAAAAACTCTTACTAGAACACCTGCACCTTCCTGACTCTACCGCCCTTTTAATTTTATTTTTTCCAGATCTTGCTGATTCCTTAGAACTTTAGGCTCTATTTCAGGAGTGATCCATTTTGTGACAATTCTACGGTGCTTTGCATCTTCTGCTGGCAAAGTGGCCAGTGGACACAGGTGTGGTGAAGAGCTTCTGTTGCTTCATTTGACAAATGCTAGAAAACATGTTTGTTTCCTAACGAAAATTCAGGATCCTCACTGGCCGCACCAGCAAGAGAAGTGACCACTCGGGACCTGGGAAGCTGAAGCTGGTATGAAATCCTGTGGCCAAAGAAACTGAGTGTTTTTCACTTTCCAATTCCTTAGTTTGGTGCCAGGTAGCTGTACCCTTTGGTTAAACAAGATCCTCATACGGGTGCCTGTGACTCTGGATTGCCAGACATTTATTTGACTTCCTTTGTCAAGAGATGAAGGCAAACAACAGAAGGAACTATGCTCTGGATCAATCAAGATTTTATTTATTTAGCTCATCTTTTATAGTTATTAAAATTTTATCCAATAGCTTCACTCTGGGCCAGCCTGAGAGGTAGACAGCGCCGAGTAGACGGGCAAATTCAACACAGTCATTCGGAGTTTGGCTCCTGCTTCTGCCTCTGCCTTCCACTATGCTACCCCACAAAAAAATAGTGACATGAAAGTCACAGGAAAGAAATAAGTTAAATACAAAACAGGATTTCAACCCAAATTAATCCCTTTTCTGGGCCACTGAAAAGCTTTCTGAGGGATTAGTATTCACTCAAGACCAATGACAAGGGTCACTTCCTGTCTTAAAACTCTGGAGTGTGGGGTCTAGCTGCAAACCTTCAGTACTCCCTGAGTCGGTTCTGGGAACACCTAAGAACCTACCACACTGTTGTTGGGAGATGATTTGCTGTGTATAAGAAATGGGTGTGGCCAAAGCCCAGGAGGCTGATGAATCTAAAGAAAAACCTCTTTTCAAAAAAAAAAATAATAATAATAATAATTAGAAGGTAATGTTATTATAATTTAAAAATACTCTGATAAATCTGGCCATAAGACCTTAAATCTCTAAGTCAATAGTTGCATTATATGATAATGTACTGTCGAAATAAAAAGATATTCCTGAATTAAGTATCCTTCCATCTCTAACTCCTCTCCCTCTTTTAAATAGTTATAAGTAATCATATATGTGCCCCCCCCAGTGCCTATTAATATTGTTATTTACATAAAATTAAGTCAACCGCAGAAGGAGCATCTAGAAACAACAATATTGATTTGGTTTGCCTGTTTGTTTTTAAAGACTGCTTTTAAAGACTGGCCAGTTATTGGAATTCTGAATATCAAATCGGGGTTGCTAGTGTCTGCCAACCCCTCCGGGGCAGCTGGCCCCCCTGGCATCCTTCTGTTTTCTCTGTTGCCCTGGCTGTGCTGCATGGATGTGCTTCAAGAGCAGGGCCACTGCGGGGCTCAGGGAAGCAGACCGCCTTTCAGGTCCTGGTGCCTGTGCTGTGAAGGTCAGGGAAGGATTTCCCAGGACAAAAGGATTTCACACAAGTTAAAAGGCCTTTGGGATCATCTAAGCTTTCATCCCCCAGGAGGCCAGTTTGGGGCTTTTCTTTATGGTAAAAAAGACTATTTCCTCACCAGTCCTCCATTTTAACTACCTCCAGGGACAAATTTCCAGGGAGTTGTGGGAAGGATCCTTTAGAGGTGGAAATGAATCAACTCATTCTGCCTTTCAAAACTCTCAGGCTTATAAAATGTCCTACTGAGAAATTTCCTCTTCCTCAGTGGGCTGAAGGACGCCCCCTGCTTCCTCCCTTTTCTGCTCTGATCAATGGGCCACTTTTTTCTTTAGAGATCCCTGGAGGCAGGTAGGTCCAGGGATTGCTTGGGTTAGAATTTGTTGATGTTTCTATGGAAAAGACCCATGCTGCCCTGCCCTCCCTGAGCAATGAGCCAAGTCCTGGGGCTTTCCGGCATTTGGGAACCTCACTCTCCGCCGACAGGCAACATAGAGGGGAGGATTGTTGAAGGTGAGGGTCTGTGGCGGGTGGATTTCCTCACAGGGAGCTCCCCGGGAGAGGGAGCTGATGATTAGTTCATTTCTCTTAGTTTCCTTTGCACTGGTCCCCATGCTCAAGGAGGGTAAGAGTCTAAGGAGGTGAAACTCAAGAAGGACATCTAAGGAGAGCAATATTATCTAAAATAAAGTTTCCTTTTCTTCACCTGGTAGTTGAGTCAGATGGGAAGAACATTAACCCAGGTGGACATATTTTTTTTTCAAGTTCCAATCACATGGTTTCCCAGTCAGAAAGGCTCAAGGACTTTCTTCCTAAGGTTCCATGATCATGCCCCCTCCTCACTGTGACTCTCACCCATCAGAGGCTGTGGTGGAATCAATCCAGAGCGGCTGCCTGAGGGCACCCAGATAGCAGGTCCGCATCCAGAAACAACTTGAAGAGCCTGCAAAGTCATTTTTGGCCAATTCCTGGGTTTTTTGCTATAAGGTTGGTAGTTACATGACATCACCAGTTCAAGACTTAGTTAGATCATGAGACTGAAGACCTGTCTTCAAAATTCCCAGGGATCCTTGAGCAGCATAAAGGACTTTTTCATCTTCACCCATCCCTCCACCTCCAATGCGCATCTGCTTTCTCATGGACCAAAATTCACTCATAGAAAAACATAGTCAAACCCAGGCATGTAACCTGCAACAAAGCAACTACCCCTAAGCAAGCAAACCCCGTGGCTGGTAGACCCCTGTGGGCCTTTTGGCATCAACACTGCTCCCTCCCCTCCCTGTCCCAGTCCCCCCGGTTTGGAATACCATGCCAATTTCCTTTCCTGACAAGGCCTGGGTAGCATAAAAACAAAGGTCCGTGTCAGCCAGGTGCACGATAACATTGCAACATTCACAGCACTGTGGTAAACTGAGACTGCGCCCAAAGTGCCCGGTGTGACAGGAGGGCCAGAAAGTAGTGAGTGACTCGAGGTGTATCTGCCAGATGCCAAAATCCACAGCCCGCTCAGCCCCTCTCCATTCACTCTCTCTGTCTCCCCTAAGAGCAGGGGAACTCTTTCTAATAAGAACTAAGATGGCATTTGTCCTTGGCCTTGGAGTTACTGACAAAGAGGAGGACGGAGGAGGACATGGCATTGCATGTTTCTAATGCATCTGAGGAGATATTTTGATATTGGCAGAAGGGGCCAGTGACGATCCCACACATGGGTTCTCCAACACTGACCCCAAATACACTGAACTCAGACCAGGCCCAAAGGCTGAGAGTTTGACTATTTCTAGCATTTCTGCTTGCAGATTCCTGTGTGATCAGATGGGGTTGGCGCTGACCTTCACAAAATACAGCAGGTGGAAGTTCTAATGATGCCAGCAAGTTGCGGCCTGACCAGTAAGGAGTGTCTCAAGGCAATGTGGAAGAGGAGTTGTGAAGCTGGAGTCCTTTGGGAGAAGCTGAGCTCTTCTGCAGCAGTGATGGGGCCAGGTGGCTGTGCTCAGGATCGGTTGAGGCGCTTGGCGACATCGGCATAGGCCAGCTCTATCTCTGAGTCAGCCGCACAGGTGTTGGTGAACTCATCCCGGGCGTAGGCATTCTTGAGGTACCGCCACAGGCCTGTCATCTCAGCTGGGAAGTCATAGTTGCGGTATTTCTTGGCCACAATCTACAACAGGGAGGGCAGGACAGAGACGGTGTGAGGGCATGAAACAAATCACTGAGAAGGTGTATGTTAGCACGTGACCCAGCGAGTGCGCACAGTGAAACGCCCTCCATGCATCGCGACGGGCCAGCAGCAAAACGTCTGTAATGCAAGGGGGCAGTGCCACCTTCTTATTTAGTCTCATTTTATTTTAATTTATTTTGTTTTGTGTTATTTTATTGTATATATCTTTATATAATTTGCCCTTTGCCTTAGTGATTCAGCCTCTACAGATTTTTTCTTAGGAAATAATCATATATGTACACAAAGATTTAGCTAGACGTATATGATCACAGGACTACTTGGAATGGCAAAAAAAAAAACACCCCAAAATGGTACACAACACAAACGTCCAGCTACATATGAATGGAAAAATACATTATCATATGTGATGCAGTGGTATCCTGGAGAGCCATTAAAAATGACACTGCAGAGGGAACTCCAGTAATCTGGAAAATTCTTCAAGCTAGATCATTAAATTTAAAGTACAGTATAACATATTTGGAGACATATGTATGATGGCTAAAAGTATATGTACCAATGTATTACCAATGGTTATGTTTAATTAATAGAGCTAGAGTCAATTTTTTTCTATTTTCCCTTATCCATTCTCTTTTACATAAGCATCCTTATTTATAAAAGGGAATAAAAACATAAAAAGTAAGTTAGAAGTTGGAATGCATATATAGGTTCAGGATATTAAGTGGGACTGAACAAATAGTGATTTCTGTGCTCTCCCCAGTTGCCATATTGGGGGCTGTGGACTTGGGCGCTCTGGGGAAGTGGTATTTGCATTGTGAGAAATGGTAGCATAGTGGTGAAAAGCATGGGCTCTGGATCCCAGCTGCCTGGACCTGCAACCCTGACTCCACTTCTAAACAGCTGTGTGACCTTAGACTAGTTACTTAACCTCTCTGAGCTCCAATTCCTTTATCTCTAAAATGGAGGTAATAATAGGATCAACCTTAGAGTAATAAATTAGTTAACACACATAAACATTTATAGGGGTGGCTGACTCAGACTCAGGTCTGAAGAAACATGACCTATTATTATAATGCATTGAGACCTACCTTTTACCCATTTGCGTGCATTCCTTCATAGAGAGGGGCAGGGTGGTCTCTTTTATAAGGTCTCACTCGCCAGGGAGGACTCCACAGACTTGTGACCTGTGTGGTCACATGGGCCTCACACTCAGAAGGCTCCTGCTCTTGGTTTAATGCTTTGTTGTCAATGTCTAGAAATTCCAAATGCTTTGTTTTCACTGTGTGCACAGGGGCCTGCACATTAGGTGGCCCTTCCTCTAGCCCCCCAGGGGTTGTGGTGGGGATAGCAAAGGGTAGCCTCTTCCCTGAAGCACTGACTTCTGACTCCTTCACTTGCTTTCTTCTTAGAGAGGGCCCCAGACCATTGTCCCCAGGATCCTCCCACTCAGAGAACCCCCAGGTCAGCCAGTCTGGGTTTTCATCCCCCTTTTGTTTCCGGGGCAAACTGCACTGAGTGAAGGACAATGATGACCTACTGCATGGAGAGCTCAGCCTCACAGCTATGATCACGTTTCCAAGGAGGGTGCATTCTCCCCCTCCATTCACCTACATCAGTTTTGAACTTTTATTACAGCACTAAGGTCTATCTATTCTGAATCACAGTTACTGTTTCAGGATCTCTCTCACTTTCCTAGGCGTGAGCAGCCTAAGGTGGGAACCACAGCTTCTTTATTTCTGTACCCCTCGATGATCTAAATAATGCTTTTGATCAGAGTAACCACATAGCAAACATCTATTTACTATGTGCTCTACTCTAGGGGCTGCTGTGAGCACTTTAAAAGCTACTTAAACTGATAAATAACTTGATAAGGCAGAGGGTATTATATTCCCATTCTGCAGATGAGAAAAGCAAATTAAAGAGGTTAAGAAGGGCTTCAATAAGCAATCGTATTTAATCTTTACCATCGTCAGTTATCTTAACATCAAAATGCATTGAGTGTCAACTGTAATAAAATCACCTAATTTTAAAGCCTGAAGATCCTTAGCACTGAGCAAACTGAAGCCACCAGAGATTTAGTGGCTTACACAACATGACACAGGAAAATAATTAATTCAACCAATATTACGGAGTAATCACTAATATTTACTGCAGTGCCTACTTTCTAATCCACAATTCTCTCCACTTGGCCACTCAGCCCTATGTAAGTGATAAAGGAATAGCTCTACATAGAATCCCTCTAGTGCCAGTTTTTCCGGTGTTGGTGCTCATCTCCGAACCTACCCTTGCATGTATTTGCTTCTTTGAGATGCTGGGGCTGAGACAGCTCAAATCACGCTTTGGCCTTGCCTGCGACTCCCTGTTAGACTCTACCAATAGGGGGCAATAGAGAGAAAGCCCTGAGGCTTGAGGAGGGAGGCCGGATGTGCCCCTTCCTGTTGGTTTCTTGCTCCTGTCCATCTTTTTTGCTCCTGTAACAGCAGCTGCATCCAGTTTGCTGTTTTGCCAGTACTCACAGTGTCATCGCACCAGATCAGAAAGGCCAGCGCACAACAGTGACCCCCCTGCAGAGACTGGGTTCCAGTCCCACAGGCTGCCCTCTGAACTTGGCCCCCAGCATCAGCGGAGCGGCGTCTCCCCTCAGAGGTTCAAGGCCCCTCATCTAAGTTTCTAAGTTTTAATAACTCCAACCTCTTCCACTTGCTGCACCGCACCCCATCCTGGGGGTAGTACCTGCCTCCTAAAGGTGGAACTTCAGTGTACATCTTGTCTTCCTATTTCTTCAGTACTTACTACTTTTTTCTATTAAATTCTCTCCATGAAAATGACCTGTCTGGGGTACCCCTCCATGTTTTGTTTAGCTAAGGTGTTGCTAATCACTAAAGGTGAGGGATGAATCAGAGTCCTTCAGCAGGACACCCCCAAGAGGGAATGCTGGGGCCAGCACCCACCACCAGCTCTCCTTGGTCTCCCTACACTCACTGCAAGCTAAGGGCACCCTGGATTTGCCCACAAGCCTTTGGAAGAAGCAGCCTTGGCTAACAAGCAAATTCATGCAGCAGAGGTGGATTGCAAAGTGCTGGGGAGAGCAGCCTCAAGTCTCTCCATGATGGAACTTTAACTTCAAGGTTTTAAAGAATAGAATATGAGCTTGAAAACAGAAGAAATGCAATTTATGAAAACATATCCGTGTTCGTATCTCCCTTCCTTTTGGCTGCAGGGGCTGGACGGATCACAGTGCCAGGTGAAGGCCCAGGGAGGCTACACAAGGCCCACCATGTCCTCCCTGCCTGAATCTGTGCACCCACCTTAATGACAAAACTGGATGTTTCCTTGGGTGTTGGCTTGACCCGGAGAGGGGAGACATAGAAGGGAGCCAGACAACAAAAGTTCAAAGGGGTGAGGGGAGGAGAGGGACGCATGAGTGAAGGGCGACGACTCGCATAGGAAGCTCTGACGTTTGCAGGAACTTCCATGCTCATGTTCTGAATTTGCTCTTTCATATGCAAACACTTAGCTCCCACAGCCCAGATTAAGTTTTGGCATCCTCAGAAGCCGTGCTGGAGGCGTGACTTGGCTCTCTCTTCACTCTCTCTGCGCTTCAGAGGTCTGCCAGGTCTCTGGGATCTGATAAGCTGCATCAGCAGAAATCCAAGGAGACAGGAGGCCAGACCCAGCCTTTGTCCCCTCGCAGGCTATCCCCTCTCGGATCCCCAGCCTCTCCCAGGGAACCACTCGCTGAACTTCATCCTAGGACAGGGCAGTAACTTAGTCTTTTAGGGCTAAAAGGAACTGGAGAAATTGTAAGATGAAGCACAGGGCCTGGGAGATCCATTTGTTTACCTTACTCACCAAGCGTTCTTGAGTGGGTAGCCAGTACATGTTTGAGTGAGAGAGAAGAAAGAAGGAAAAGAGAGAGAGAAAAAACAAGCGAGAGGGAATAGAATCCACATCCCTTCTTTTAGCATGAGAAAAATGAATTCCGAAAAGAGTAAATGACCTGCCTCAGGCTCGTGCTGCCAGCTGGTAGCAGATATAAGACCATAACTTGGGTCTCCTGACTTCTAGAACTGGGGTCTTTCCATTACATCACTATGACACAGTAGGACTGAATTAGAATCGTTTTATCCTTACCAGTACCACTGTTCCTCAGGAAAGGAGAATAAAGTATGTTTTGGGGGTAGAGTCGGGTATACACTAATTAACAACTTCCAAGAGATATAGCTGGACCTACAGCTGACCACTGGCTTGGCCCTTAACCCAAAGTGTCTTCATATTAATAGGTTCTATTTGTTCAGTGCATCAGTACTGGTATGCATGATTCCCTCCCAGTCTCTAACTCAGACCAAGCCCATGGGAACACCAGCACACACCCAGCTGAGTGATTTCAACTCAAGCTGGCGTGTGCTGTGGTTGGAGGGAAGCCTGCATATCTAGCCCAGGACTTCAGCTGGAAAAGACAGGCAGATATCCAGCTGATGAGTGATTGAATCTGATTCCTTGCAGAGAAACATAGAAAGAAACTGGGTATCATAAAGACACAACTAGATGATAAAATGAGTATTTATTAAAGGGCCACCATATGCCCATCGTCATGCTTAGAGAAGGCCCTGTCCTCACAGAGTTTATTGTCTGACTGAGACAATAGCATGTGTATATAAACATGTGCACAAATAGAGAGCAATTGAATTCTATGACCCCATTGTATTTTTCTCTAGGCTGATGAATGTCAGGAAAGGATGTGAGAAGTGTTAGTTTAGAAAGCTTTTGAGGACACAACTGCTGTCTCCAAATGAGATGAAAAGAACAGCCCTGTCCCATGTTGTTGCAGAGAACAAGGGGTAGCAGGGAGCCTGTTTGGAAGGCTGTTTTAATCATCAGTCATCCAAAATGGCAGGTCTGCCTTGTGAGGCAGAGGGCTCTTCATCCTCAGAAATCTGTGGTCACTGCTGCACAAGAGCCTGTCACAGATGCACGGAAAGTGGCCCAGTTTGGGATGACCTCGGAATTCCTTTCCTTACAACTCACAGATCCTAAGATTCATATAGGAAAGGATTATATTGCCTGTGGAAAATGGTCAGAAAGTAAAACAGTAAAAAAATGGTGTCACTTCTTGCAGCCTCCATCTCCTCAGCTGATAGACGAGGAAGAGGCCTGCCCACCCTAGGGGGTTGCCAGAGGGAATGAAGGGGCGGGTCTGTGCACAAAGAAAACGTGCCGATGAGGGCACATTAGTCCAGAAGGGGTGGCCAGTGAAAACCTCTGAGGAAGAGGCGAGGAAGAGGCCTTTGGAGTGATAGGACTATATATATTTGATACGATAATAGTAACCATTATATATTGCGCCCTTACGATATGCCATGCACTTCATGTATATTATTCTCCCAATAACCCTAGAAATAAGCAACCTATGCCAATTTTACAGGTGAGGAATGGCACTCAGATGGCCTGTACAGCTAGCGCACAGTGGAGGCCGCCTTTGGGTCCCCTATTCATGTGATTTCAGAGCCGAGGCTCTGACCAGCAGGTGACCCTGTTCTTGGCTCAACCTCACAGGTGACACCTGTCTATGATGGAATAGGATCTGGCAAGCACTGATGTGGGCAGAGCCCTCTTACTTTGACCACATGAAGCTTGGGCAACAGATTGCAGTCGGCCAGGGTCAGCTCGTCCCCATCCAAGAACTTGCGCCGGGAGCCCTTGTCGTCGTCCCCGCAAGTGCTGGCATCGATCTCCTCTGGCAGAGGGGTGTTCAGGTAGTCATCCAATTTCCTCAGTGCCTTGGTCAGGCCTCTCTCAAGGGCTGGCAGGGAACAGCAAAAGAAGTGTCTTTAGTCAAACTTGCCACCAAATACAGCCTCAGTCTTCACAGTAAAGCGGCCTATCCCAAATCCTGTCCCCTCACCACACTGCCAGCTCACGCCACACTGCCAGCTCACCACACACTACAGAACATCTAGCAGCCATTAGCATGACGCAGTATAAGAGTATCAAATGGCCTGAGAAAGCAAGCCTTAACCAAACAACAGACACTAGCTACGGTAATCTCTTTTTAAAGATAAATAATAGATATATTCATAGATGCAACTATTAGCATACATATCAAAGTTTAGCGCTGCTTATCTTCCGAAGATGCAACAACAGCAGTCTACTTTCATTTTTCTTTTTTGCTTATGTCTATTTTTCCAATATTCCACAATTAACCCACACAATTTTGTATAAAGAAAGGGCTGTTAAATAAGTAAATAACAACTGTATAGCAGTCCCAGGACAGAGATACATCAGATTTTGTGGAAGCATTAAATACAGTTAACCCAACCTGAGAAGGGAGGGGACAAGCCTTCCAGGAGGGCAAGACGATACAGGAAAGTGAGGGGCCCTGTTTACTACCCCCCAGAGAACCAACGGGTGTGAGGGAGACATGCTTGTGTTTAACCTAGAGAAGGCTGTTCTAAAATTCAGGGCTGTTCCAAACAGAAGGGCCAGTGACCCAGGCAGTGCCCCCCCCCCCCCCCCCCGCAGAAATGTGCAGTCGCAGCTGTCAGCGACGCAGCTCCCAGGATGAACATTTACAGGAAGATAATGTGACGGAAGACATTGACAGTCTTGCCCCAATAATTATGCCTTCAGTCATTCATTTAGTCACAAGGGCAGAACGAAATACTCAAGAGAAGAACCCCAGAAACTCACTCTCACTGAGTTATTCCCCCCAGAATCTCATAGACCATTCCAGGCATGGAGTACCAACACAGCAACTGCCCACGTGAGTTCAGGGGACAAAGGTGGCGGAGGCGGCTGGTCATGCCATTCCTTAGCCACTGCACCTGTGTCATCAGCCCCATCTCCAACAGATGTTTCTCCTAGACTCTGGTTTACAATATGACATTGAGGTCATAGGAACCAGTTCTGATGTTAATACCAGCAGATAAAATGGGGTGCTCTCCCTGGAAGAAGAGCTTGGTGGATTGTCTCTTGTTCAGATTTTCCCAAATATGCTTTCTGTTAGCTACTCCTCACACAACCCGCATTTGTCTTTTCATAGAAGGCCTTTTGTTTGGGACAATGAAAGGACACCAGCCCAAGATAAATCAATTGAATGCTTACTGGAATGTTTAAAAACAGGCTGGAGGTTGGACATAGTTTCTCAATACTTCCTTCTCACTGGTGTGGCATTTGAACTTGTACTTCATCATCTGCTTTGTGTTTCCAGTTTGAGAGAACAGAATGAGCAAGGCTGGGAAAAATGCTTGTATTCCCCTTAGTAATTGTCTAGACTGGGATGGGGTTGCAAGCCTATTCAACAGCAATAGCAGAGGGTGGGTATTCAACAATACTTAGTATGCTCCCTCCCCCACTCCAAGTACTTGTGATTTATACTGGGATTGTTTGCTTCCTCAAATCCTTCTACCCTTTTCAGTTTTGGAGATTATGGCAAACTCTTAATTATAATGGAGAAGGAAGAAATCTAATAGAGTACCTGTTGAAATTTGACCAATTGATACCAGCCCAGGGAAAGAGACACATGATGGGAAAAGAGATGTTGCGAGTTCTGATTCCAAATGCCTCTTGGAGACCTGAGAAGGACACCATTCACATGTGTGTCCAAGTTGCCTGGTCTGAGGACTGCCATGACGTTTGGTGAGAGGGGCCTAGGGCAGCAACTGAAGCTCCTTGGGAGGATTGTTCTGGGTTGTTACAGAATAGCCACGGGGATATAAAGTTCAGCACAAGAACTATACTCAATAATATTATAAGAACTATGTATGTTGTTAGACTGGTACTAGTTTTTTCAGGGTGGTCACTTTTGTAAGTTACATAAGTGTCTAATTACTGGTACATAAACCTGAAGCTAATATATCGTATGCCAACTGTGATTGAAAAATTAAAAATTATTTAAAATCTTTTTTAACTGTCTCTCTAGCGATCGCTGGAGATGGAAGGGTAAAATTGACAATGGGCCTGGTTATTGCCTTCTGGCACAACTGCGTCAACACACCGCATCGGCCTGTTCTGAGAATGTCCTCCCTGTGTCAGTTTCATCAGTTACATTTGTGTTTTGGATCAGGAATGTGAAGGTTCAGTTGGTGATAATTATGGTAGAGAAAAGAGGAGACGAGGCAGCAGGGATGGGGCCATATGGCCTAGAGCTAATTCTGTGTTTAAATTTTGACCCCACCCTGGGTGAATTTCATGTGAGGCTGCTAAGACTTTCACTTCAAGGTCCCATAATTGCACGGGCCCCTTCCAAGGCCTTGAAGTTGACTTTTAAAAAATCTCTTATTAGTACTCATTGTATTGGCTTCAGATCCCACAAATCTTGGAAACATCCCTCATCTTGGCACTTCGCTAACTGTGACCTTGGGCAAGTTTCTCTACTCCATTGAGCTTTCATTTTCTCATCTCAGCTAAGGGACTAAAAAAATTCTAACCCTACAAAGCCATTGTGAGGATTAACTCAGATGACCCAGGGTCCATAGGAGGACACCCATTAAAGACAGCTACTGCTCTTGCATCACCAAACGTGACAGTCATCTTGCTTTCAGTCCCTCGCCTCATACCCTTGGTCAGTATGTTCCTAAAAAATCCAAAGTGTGGCAGAGAAAGAGAGATTCTAAGAAGCTCCAAGTATGAGGTCCAATCCCCAGAGGAGGAAATGAACAGCTCAGAGCTGAAGCTTTGCTTCTCTTGCTGACTTCACGTACAGCCACAGCCTGATCCTCATGGTCCCTGAGGATCCTTCTCAGTGACAAGCCGTGTGGAGAGGCACGACCAGAGGGAAATGGACGCCACAGGCCTGTGTGCTAACACGCTGCATATTATCGAATAACAAATGCCAGCGCCAATACATTCCTTGCCAGTTCTTTTCCGTCCTAGCTGCCAACTCACTCCTCTGACCCCGGCTCAATCTGGCATTCATAGAACTTAATTATCTCTCTCGGCTGACGGCACCCAGGTCCTGAAACCGTTGATGTTGAACTTTCTGCTCTGGTGAGCGCGAGGGGGATATGAAAGAAACCAGAGTAACCAGAAGACGTTAATTCCTGCAGTGTTCACATTTAAAACCCTCCCTCCAAGAAACGTTGTCTGAGTAGCAGGACGGGTTACCCTCAGACCGCAGCAAGCAAGCCTGAGGCCAGGGGACCCCGAGGCCCAGGGACACTAACGTCTCAGGCACTTGATGGATACCCAGTCCTCTAACTGCTTTCTTCCCCTCTCCACCCCACCCTTCCCATAAAGATTTATTCTGTACCACACACAAATGCGCTGGGTAAAATATGTGATGAGGAAACAAGGGGGAATAGTTCATAAATATTCTCAGCCATATGCAAACAATCTCAAATTTATTTTTCTCTTTTTAAGGAGGAAAAAAAAATCCACCCATTCCATGATCACTTCCAGATTCATTGAGGTTGATATTACATAAGACCCAATATTGTTTTCTCGTCATAGAGAAATAATGACTTGGAAACGGCAATTTGAGCTAAGAAAATAATATACTCTTACCAGGGCATGGAGGCTGAATGAGGACCCGGGAGCCAAGACTAGCTCAGCCTCCAACAAGCTCTTGCAAGCACAGCTGAGCCCTGGTTCACCGGCATGCTCTCTGCACCAGAGGTACTAGTCAGCACGCAGCCACGCAGCCCCCTGGGGCCCAGGTTCCCTTGCAGCAGAGCAGATGCCACAGGTGGTCTTTGGAAGGGCAGGCGCAGCTCTGTGGGCCCAGGCTGCTGTACTATCATTCTTTCTGGCACGTAAACTTTCCAGAACTCGCTAGATGAGAACTGAGGGTCCCCCTCTGACCGACGTCTACAGCCTGCACAGGGGTCTGTTCAACTCTCCATGGACGAGATTGTGGCTATGGGGCGCTGGCCCCAGGGCAAACATCTTCTGCCCCTCTGGGTCCCTCTAATCTTGTTCCCCAGCGCTAGCAAAAAAATTCACTTACTGAATTTCTGAAGTAGACCAGGATATTTATGTCATCTAGCATTTAAACACACAGTGAAGCTATGGAGATGGGAATCAGCACTCATCTCCATTTAACAGATAAAGAAACGGAGTCTTGGACTCATCCAAGGCACACACACAGGCGCAAGCAAACTGTTCGAACTACTCCTGGCATACAAAGAAAATGTACCTGCTTTTGTTTTTAACTATGTGGTTTTCCTACAAGCTCCCAGCCCTTGGGTGGTGGGAAAACAAGTTCAACTTAGTGCATTCTGGATTATAACCTAGTCTGATGTAATAATCTAATGGTCCCTCCAGAGACCTCTCAGTCACTTTTGCATGAAAATGCTCATTTTCCCAGACAGCCTCCTTGTCTACTCCCCTCCCTGAGTGCATGGGGATGGGAGTTCAGGGGCGGGGAACCCCCTGTGACCTCACGGCACTGAGAGAGCGAGTCCTGGGATCTATGGGGTGGAAGGTTTTGTGTCTCTTCCCAGTTACGCCAAATCTCTACTTCCTCCCAGAGTAACCACGGGATGTTGCCCCGAGAATGATGGTCAGAGGCGGCTGCTGGCCCCCCTCCAAAACCCTGGATGGACGCCCCAGCCGAGGGCCCCATAGGGCTTTAGAGACATGTCTTTAGTTCTTTGACCCCCCTGCCTCTCTTCCCCTTCATCTCCAAGTCCCCTGGGCAGAACAGGCGACCTTTCCTGTTCGTTTTCCTCTGACAAGAAGTCTGTCAACCACAGGGCAGCAAGCCTCCCTGTTAGCTGAGCCCTCCTGGTCTGGCTCTTAATGTGCTAAAATGGAGAAATAAAGGAATTTAGAACATTTTAAGACAACAGCTTGGCTTGCAAG